TCTTGGTTTTCAGACAAACCTTTGGACCATACTTATTGGTCTCATAGATTTCCATCTCAAAGGCTAAGGAGAAAGGGACCTGAATAACCAGAAGAACAGAGAGAGCCCTAGCTCTGGCATTAGCTTGTGTGAACTTGGGCAACTCGTGGGGTTAATCATCATTCTTGCTGGATTTAATCAGATAGGCAACCCTGACTGGTTTGGCTCAGTGAGTAGAGCATCGACCTGTGGACTCAAGGGTCCCAGGTTCGCTTCCGGTCAAGGGCATGTACCACCTTGGCTGCGGGCACATCCCCAATAGGGGCTGTTCAGGAGGCAGCTGATCGATGTTTCTCTCTCATTGATGTTTCTAATTCTCTATCCCTCTCCCTTCCTCTCTGTAAAAAATCAATAAAATATAAAAAAAGAAAGTCAGTGGGGAGGGGAGGAAGATCTGAGGGAGATAATAGATCAACCGAAGGACTTGTGTACATGCATATAAGTACAACCAATGGACATAAAACTCTGGGGAGGGAAGGTATGTATGGGAGGGAGGAAGGGGGCAAAAAAAATCAATAAAATATATTATTTTTAAAAATTTTTTAATAAAATAAAAAAATAAAAAGCTGTTGTGACTAATAAAAAAAAAAGTGATCACTTAAAAAAAATCAGATAGGTGATGTGACAGTCCTTCAAACAAAGACAAGCGCTAAAGAGTCCTCCATTGGCCTTGTCCTTGGGGCCCTGTAATAAGGGGGAAACGGGGGGGGGGGGGGGATTTCCCCTTCCAGGCTCGCACTCTGCTTTCACATCTCTCACATCTCCAGACAATCGATACAGCACTGCTCCCGGGCAGCTGCTGGTTAAAGGTGCCACCAATAAGGGAATCCCAGAACCGCAAACCAGCCCACAGCGATGACAGGTATCGCTTCGTGGTTTTGCGGTTTCGTGTTACTGGGTTGGCTGTGACTCAGGCCACTGTGGGCCTGGCTGGCTGGCTGGCTGGCTCCTGGTGTAAGCTGACTCCTCCAGGGGCCCAGCCCTGGCATTCTTGCTCCTCCTCTCCAATTGTCTCTCACACCTATCCCAATCCCGGGCCAAAGCGCAAGCCATTTCTCTCTCTGTGCCTCATTCATGTTTGAGGAACAGGGTTTTGACCCAGCGCTCCTGGCTCTTCGCCTGTTACCGGTTACAACCGATCCTTTCACAGTCCCCAAGGCTCCCCACCTGGCCTCTCCTCGGTCCAACCTCTTTTCAGACCTCAGGAGCTGTGATTGCCTCCTGCCTGATTTTCATGGCTGACGACCCAAGCCTTCCAGGTCTGGAGGTAGCAACTCAGCTGCTCCCTTCCAAAAGGTTCCCCAAGGGTTCTCTTTCCGATGCTCCCCTGGTTGCTAACTCTCCCCATAGCACAAAAGTGGGGGCAAAGCAGGTGAAGGGGACATAGTGTCCCATTGGAGGGCCTTTCTCCATATCCTAGTGTTCCCATTTATTGAGCACCTGCCAAGCACAGGGCTGAATGATGTGCATGCAATGTCTCAGGTAAGAACCCTCTTTTTATTTTTTATTTTTACTTTATTTTTATTTTTATTTTTTGTAAGTGAAAACAAGAGGCCATTTGTTTTTATTTTCATTGATTTCAGAAAGGAAGGGAGAGTGAGAGAGAGATAGAAACATCAATGATGGGAGAAACAGGGTGCAGCATCCTCCTGCCTGCCCCTACTGGGGAACATGCCCACAACCCGGACATGTGCCCTGACCAGGAATCTAAGGGTGACCTCCTGGTTAAGAACCCTCTTTTTAAATAATTGTTTGTTTTAAGAGAGAAGGAGAGAGAGAGAAACATCTATGTGAGAGGGCTGGCTCCCCCATGCACACCCACTGGAGATCAAATTCGCAGCCCAGGTATGTGCCTGGACTGGGAATTGAACCGGCAACCTTTCAGTGCACAGGACAATGCTCAACCAACTGAGCCACACCAGCCAGGGCATGATTCTCCTCTTTTATAGAAGTAGAAATGGAAGCTCAGGGAAATTCAGCAACTTGCCCAAGTCACAGCACTGGTAAATGTGGAAGGTCGGCTATGCTGACTTTAAAGCCCATGACGTTCTACTTTCTAGAATATTCTAGAAAACTCTAGAGTTGTGAGAAACCTGGAGGTCACTGCTTCTCCCTTCCACCAAAACTGGTTTGGCTCAATGGATAGAGCGTTGGCCTGCGAACTGAAAGGTCCCAGGTTTGATTCCAATCAAGGGCATGTATCGTGGTTGTGGGCACATCCCCAGTGGGGAGTGTGCAGGGGGCAGCTGATCCATGATTCTCTCTCATCGATGTTTCTAACTCTCTATCCCTCTCTCCTCCTCTCTGTAAAAAAAAAAAAATCAATAAAATATATTAAAAAAAAAAAAAAAAAAAAAAAAGAATCTCCCTTCCCAGCCTCCCTAACAGGTGGTGATGTTTTCAGTAAGTCTGGCCAGACAGAGAAGAATATACCCAAACAAGTGATGGTCAAACCTGCCTGATCATCAAAAGCATCTCAGATGCTTTTAAAAGTACAGGTTCCTATTTTTCCTGGTCCGGGATGCAACCCAGGGATCTCCGTCTTTAGGAAACACACCCAGGTGAATCCGATACGTGGGCAGGTTTAGAAACCAGGAATGCCACCTCATGACCCCTTACGTAGATGCAAATCATGGTTGGGAGAAGAAAAGTTGAATTTCAGCCTCATCAAGGAAGCAGTGAGCTCTGCACAAAAGAAGAATGACGCAATGTTTCTCTGTGGGTTGCGATCACTCAGTACGAGACATGAGTAAGGAAAAGCACCATCCACAGAAAACCCCACAACCACTGAACCCTGCCTGCCTTGGGTGGGGCTAAATCCTCTCACCAAACCACTCCCAGCCCAGACCCACACCTGGATCCTCTCGGGAGCCTTCACTGCCGGTGCAGGTGTAAGGTGGTCCCGGGCCCAGCCCAAAATGCACGTCTCCTAAGGAGGATTCTGCCCCGTGCATCTCCCTCATTGGCTTCCCCCAAGAGATTGGAAGCTACCATCTTCCCCCAACAATTCCGTCATCATGGGGGGAGGGGTCAGGAGGAGAAAAGGGGGACTGGATGAGCACTTGGCAGGTTTACTGCAGCGAAGACACGGAAGTATTCGATGGGGGTGGGGGCACACTGTGTTCAAAATGATCAAAGTAAACTTCAGGGTTCTGTTTAGCCATCTCATTCCGCAAACCCTCAGGCCCACTGGGGTTTCATGCCAGCCTTAGCTCTGGAGAGCACCTCTGTCACTAGAACTTTCTACCACGCTAGATATGTTCTAGATCTGCACTGTTCGTTGTGGTCAGGATAGACCATGCATGAGGGACCCACCACAGAAATCAGCCTCTCTACACACACACCTGTGAAGCGCTTGAAATATGGCTACTGGGATTTAGGAATACATGTTTAATTTTATCTCATTGTAATTTTAATTTAAATAGCCATCCAGGCCGGCCTGGCTCAGTGGTTGAGCGTTGACCTATGAACCAGAAGGTCATGGTTCCATTCCAGGTGGGGGCACATGCCAGGGTTGCATGCTCCATCCCCAGTAGGGAGTGTGCAGGAGGCAGCCGATCAAGGATTCTCTCTCATCATTGATGTTTCTAGCTCTCGCTCTCTCCCTCTCCTTTCCTCTCCGTAATCAATAACAATATTTTTAAATAAATAAAATAATAAATAAATAAATAGCCAGTGTGATTCGTGGCTCCCGTATTGGACAGAGCAGTTCTGGAGGGACTCTCCCGGGTTTGTCGGGCCCTTTGTGGACTGAGCTGCCTACTCAACACCAGCGTTTAGAAAATCACCAAAGCCCAAAGTGTGAGAAGACAAACGTCCTGACAGAGAACAAAAAGGAGGCATCGGAATATGTTCGCCTCTACGCACACGTGGTGTCAGGAGCGACCCCCGTGAAGGATCCCCCCCCACACACACACACAGATCAGCCTCTTCCCAACGTTCTTAGAAATCGCACACGAACCACTGAACCCTGCCTGCCTTGGGTGGGGCTAACTCCTTAAGGATAAAGCAAAAGTGACGTCAGGGAAATCCCAAGCAACAGTGATTAAAATCCATCTCGAAACAACTGAAGGCCAAACGTGGCATGATTGCCTCGTAACTTTTCTCAGTGCTACGCAAGATGATGACTTTCCTTTCTTATTTCTCTTCCTCAATCAAGTCCCAGCGGTCCGCTATTCTCCTTGTATCTATGTTTCATTGCCCTGCCTCTCGCCAGCCACTCTTGCCTGTATCCCCAGCCCGAGGAAGGGCACAACGTAGCCAATTTGGTCAACCAGCCATTTTGGTGAGAACTCTGGAACCAAATGGTCATTGGACTGAACGGACAAACCAGCCAGAGCCTGTGCAAACAGCACAGACGGGACCTCACCATTTCTCCTCGGCCCTTGCACATGTGCTTTGACTGGAATAGTTCTGCCCACCTACAAGTGTCAGGGAAAGTGCCTCTTAAGGTTACAAAACCCTCTTCCATCTATTTACCTAACATGTTCCAAGGGCCTCCCCTGGACCCATCACTGCATTAAGCTCCCTCCGTAGGACAGATAAGGTCTTTCTTCCCAGAGACTTAGAGTAGCAAAAAGGAGCTACCATTTAGTAAGTTTTAGCTCATAAGAGGCATCCACTTCTCATATACTCCTGGGAGGCAAAAATTGCCACCCTTATTTTATAGATTCAGAAGTGGAAGCTCGGGTTTGCCCCAAATCTCCTCGGTCCGCGTGCTCTTTCGGCTCCTCTTCGCAGCCTGCCTGTGCATTCTCTTCCTCTAAATCCAACCATCATTGCTTAAGGCTGTTCCCTCACAGCCAGAGACTGAGGGTACCCAGAAAACCCGGTGAGCCAGAGACCCATTCTCAGGGGTTTAAGGCGGGAAGGAGGAATGACTGCCACCCCAACCCAAGGAGAATACGGCCTCCTGCAGGCAACAGCGAAGGTAAGCAAACAGTATTTCAGAGAAAACTCACCGGCCACCACACCATGCTCCGTCCTGCCAGGAAGAAGCCTCCGACGGTCCCACGGTTTGTGGAAAACATAGCCTGAGGAGGAAAAGGTCGAATGTTGAATAGAAAACGAGGGCAGAGTGACCTTGCCAGCCAAAAGGACACACTTCCCCATGAGCTCCTGCTTCCTTCTGCCCACCTCACTTTCTGAAATGCTTCCACATTCCTCACCCCCTGAGGCTCCAGTACACTGGGATGGAGGAGGGAGGGACCTACGGTTGACAGACAAGGACACTGAGGCTCACCTTGCCCTGGTGCTAACTCTGCAAAGAGCTTAAGGTGTGGCTTTGAGCAATTCCCTCCACCTGGGTCTATTTCTGTTAGGTAAAGGGGCATGGACATGGTTAGGGCCTTTTTACAGACATATTGAAGGTGCTAGATGAAGTGTTAGGTCTTAAAAGCACCATTTGGTATATGAATTATACCTCAATAACACTGGGAGGGGGACGGAGGGAGGGAGGGAGGGAGGGAGGGAGGGAGGGAGAGAGAGAAGAAGAAGAAGAAGAAGAAGAAGAAGAAGAAGAAGAAGAAGAAGAAGAAGAAGAAGAAGAAGAAGAAAAAGAAGAAGAAGAAGGAGGAGGAGGAGGAGGAGGAGGAGGAGGAGGAGGAGGAGGAGGTGGAGGAGGAGGAGGAGGAGGAGGAGGAGGAGGAGGAAAAAAGGAAGGGGAAGAAGAAGAGGAAGAAAGGGAAGGAGAAGGGGAAAGAGAAAGGGGAAAGGGGGAGGAAGAGGAAGGAGAGGAGGAGAAAGGAAGGGAGGGAGGGAAGGAGGGAGAAAGGGAAGCAAAGAAGTTATAAAAATGCACCGTTTGCACTTAACATTACATAAAAGACTAGGGCGTGGGGGAAATGGAGAGATTTCGGTCAAAGGCACAGAGTCTCAGTTACAAGATGACTAAGTTCTGAGAGCTCAGGTACAGCCTGGTGAGCATAGTTCATAATACTGTATGGCATTGTTACATTTGCTAAACAAGTACACCCTAAGTGCTCTCGCCACATAAAAATACTGTCACCACGTGAGGGAATGGGTGTGCTCACTAGCTAGATTGTGGTCATGATTTTACATGGTCAGAAAAAAGTTAAATGAATGGGATTCTCAGTTCCCTCAGGTTCTACTCCTTCCATTTCTCCAAGATACACACACATACACACGCGCGCACATACACATGCACACACACACACACACACATATGCACACGCACAGACGGATGTTCTGCAGTCAGGTGCGGCATCCGGTAGGTGCTTCCTGGCGCATGCCTAGCAGCTTGTGTCCCCTGCCTCCTTTCTCCCCGCTGGCCACTCCCTCCACATAGGAAGACACCGTCTCCATGAGCACTGGATGCTCGGCAGGCAGCTCGAAGTTTCCAGGCCCCAGTCTGCAAACCTGTGTAGTCCGCCACGAGAAGAGAAAGTTCTCACTACGGCAAGCCGCGGGAGCCAAAGAAGCACACTTGCTGACCCACAAGGCTTTTTCTCAATGGAATAAAAATATCATTGAGCAAAAGGAAGGCACTTCAGACCTCCGAAGCTTTAAAAAAAAATGTGGATGCTGGGCCGGGAGCAGAGAAGACTCGGTGTGGCCTGTGGTCTTCTGATTTGTGAAGTGGGACACACTCACTCCGTGTGGCCACACAAGGCACAGCCAGACCCAATGGGAGATGCATGGGCTCTGAGCTCAGAACAAGGAAGAACGCCCTTGCTGCCAGAGAAGCCAGAGATGGAGCTGGTGGCCTCCGGGGAGAGTTTTTGCTGCAAGCATTCTAGCGAGGTGTTGGCAGCTCGGCAAGCCGACTGTGTCAGGCCGGCTAGAGGGGAGGCTCAAGCGCAGGATGAAGAGAAGCGTAGGCCCTCGCTTTAGGAAATATGTGAGGAGAGAAGGAATTCAGCGTCTCCAGGACACGGCCACAGCAATGCATGTGGTGCTAAGGACCCTGGAGAAGAGAGTCCCAGAAAAAAAAAAAAAAAAATCGTATCGTAGGAAGGGAAAGGGGAGGTCATGCAGACAGCATTGCCTCGGGAATCTTAAAACCCGAGTTCTTGTCCAGCCCCTTCCCTGGGCTGCCCGGTGTCCCCCTCCTGAAGGCCTGGTGACCTGGGATCCCAGGGGCTGGAGGGAGGGAGTGGGAAAGCGGGTGAGGAGGAAGAGGAGGAGGAGAGGAGGAGGAGGAGGAGGATGAAGAGAAGAAGGAGGAGGAGGAGGAGAAGGAGAGGAGGAGGAAAAGGAGGAGGAGGAGGAGGAGGAGGAGGAGGAGGAGGAGGAGGATGAAGAGAAGAAGGAGGAGGAGGAGGAGGAGGAGGAGGATAGCCAGCACCTGCACCAGGAAGCGGGAAACGCGGGTGGCTCCCTTTCGGGACCTGGGGCCACACGGAACCAGAGGAACTCGTTCTCAGCAGCTGGGAATATGGAAATGTCACTGGTGACGGAGCGGCACACCCAGCCGCCAGGCGAGGAGGTGCTTTTAAATGTGCAGAAATCCACTCGCAAAGGCGCTCCTGTGGGTGCCGGCCGGCGGGAGAGGAGGGTGGACATTAACCCTGCCGTGGCCGCAGGTCTTATTTTTTTGTTGTTGTTTGTTTTGTTTTTTGTTTTTTGATAAAAGGAAGATTTCTTTTTTGAAAGTAGTCGTAGAAAGCAGAGGTGACTAAAAGCCTCCCCAGGTGTCACAAGGGGTTGGTGTGGCTGACTGTTCCTCAAAACTCTCAGCTTCCCTGAAGCGTCCAACCAGGAGCTGGGATTCTCATGTTTAGCTTTGACAGGGCTTCGCACACGTGACCTCAAGCAGCCCGTCTTAGCCCCAGTTTACATCCGTGTAAAAAGGACACAGTCTTACCATCCGCCTGCCTTCGCCTCCCCCTCACACTCACACACTCACACTCACACTCACTCACACTCATGCAGCCCAGCGGCTGTGTCCTTCCCCATCTTCCCCATCTACAGTTTCTCTCCCGTCGGAACCGGATGGCTAAGAGGCAGGACAGCAGTCACCTCCTCCCAAGCCTGGGGACCCTCCCTGCAGCCACAGGCTGGCCCTCTCCTGCCCCTCACACGGCCGACCCCCATCTCTCCCCGCCCTCCTCCTATGCGCACAGGCCCCCAGCGCCCACCTTCCGTGCTGGCCAGCGCTCCTCTGCCTCTGCTCACCCTCGCTCCCCTCCTCCCCTCTCCTCACCCTGTGTGTGCCCCCTGACCTCCTCTTCAGCGCCTGCACGGCACTGCCACTCCAAACGCCATCCTCCTCCCCCTGGCACTGGTCCCCGCCTCATCCCTCCCACCTCATCCCTCCCCATCAGTGTCCCGGGGCCCCCACCTACCCACAGCCCGACGGCCATGACCACCACGAAGTAGATGACGATGACGGAGATGTCGGCCGCATTGCGGATGCGCTCGTGCGGGGCGAGGGGCGCCTGGGTGACGGCGGTCGTGGGGCTCCAGGCGGTAGTGTCCATGGCTGCGGTGGCGCCCAGGTGTCCCTCGCTCCGAGGCCACCGGCTCCTTATGAGGCCTCCGAGTTAATAATCAGCCCCGGAGGAGGGCGCCCGCGAGGCCGGGGCAGCCGAGAGGTGGTGCGTCTGTCGGGGGACCCCGCCGTCGAGGAGCGGGGAGCGGGGCGCGGTCCTGGGCGCGCAGCTGGGAGCGAGGAGCGCGCTGGAGTGCCGGCGGCTTGGCTGCGGGGCCGGCAGGTAAAGGCTTACCTGCCGGCTGGGAGGGGCCGGCCAGGGGGTGGTGCCCGCCTGGCACAGAGGCCCGCTGTGCTCCCTCCCTGCAGCGGGCACGGGGCGGGCCGCCTGGACAGCCCTGGGGCCGGCCCCTCCCCAGCGGAGCGGGAGCGGCCCCATGGAGGAAGCGGCTGCCTGCGGCAAGAGCCGAGGGGCTCCCGGACCCTGGGCATCTGCCCTGGGGCGGGGCCCACGTCCTCTGTGGGCCTGGCTGCTGCTCCACGTGCCCAGTGGGTGTGGGACGGATGGTGCCCAGGGACCCGCTGCCCTCTGGGCCTCCGTGTGTAACCTGGGGGAGGAGGGGAAGGTGTTGGACCCGCTGCTGGTAAAAGTTCCCACAATCGCCCACCCGCCCACCTTTCTGACTCCCCCTCCGCAGCCTGCAGCCCTCCTCGGCCTGTTCCCGCCGCTGGGAGAAGGAAGAAAGGGAGAGGAGGCGAGGGGGTCCCATCAGGAGCTATTTCCTTCCCCGCACTTTGCCCAATGAGGATTCAGCATCCTTCACTGCAGGCAGGCAGGAGAGGAAAGACTAGAAAATCCTCTCCAAGGCATTCACTCAGCTCTGGCCCTTCCTGGGGACTCAATGCATCTGGAAACACACGGCTGAGCCAAAGTCAGGGCTCGGAACAGAGAGAGCTGAGAGAGGAGGCACGACTCATCCAAGGTCACCTGGTGAGAAATGTGGCCCCGAGGCCCAGGTCAGGGCAGGCCGGGTGCAGAGGATGGTTGGGGGATGCTCTGGGGCTGGTGCTGGGGTGGGGGAGCCTTGCTGGGGTGATGGGGTGCAGGAAGGGGAAGGACCACGCAAACCCCGCCCGGATGCTGTTCTGCCTCAGGCTCTCCCTGGCCTGGGCCAGCCAGCGACAACCACCCAGGGCCCCACCACCAGCAGCAGCCTGTCCTTCCCACCAGCTCCCTCTGAGGCCCAACCACCTCCTCCTGCATCAGCGCTCCATCTTCCTATTGAGGCTGCACACTTCCCCGTTTCCCCACCCACCCACCCCTCACCCACCCCAGGACTGTAAACTCTGAAGCAACGTCCAGGGCCGTCTGACGCCTGACCACACGGGGCAGGAACTCTCTTCCCAGGGAACTCGGCAGCCGGGGCTGCTTGTGGAGCTTGGAGTAACTCGCCTTTCCATCATTCCCGCATTCAGCAAAGCTTTGGTGCCCAGCAGAGTCCCTGCCCGCAGGGCACTCACTGCCGTCTGGGTCTGATCTGATCCGGAAGTAAGCCCCTCCACAGGGAAAAATCCAGCCTGGCGCCATCCTCGCCGCTGCAGGCAGTGGGCCCCTGCCAGGTTCCGAGAGGGACATCTGTGGAAATGAACAAACCCAAAATGTGAGCAGGAGTGAGAACCGGAAGTGCTCATGGACCTCCAAGGAGGGACCGAGAGGAGTGGTAGCCCGGGGAGACCAGACAGTGCATCCATCCATTCATTCATTCATTCATTCACTCTTGCAACCACAGAGCCGCCTCTGAGGCCGTGGCTGTAAACAGGACTCACAGGGTTTCTGCCCTCACAGAGCTCCAGCCCATCTCAGAGACAAACACCTATAAAACTAGCGTTCTGATACGTGTTTTGAAAGAGGAGCACTAATGCCCCTTCCTAGCAAGGATTATTTTTTAAAAATATATATTTTATTGATTTTTCACAGAGAGGAAGAGAGAGGGCTAGAGAGTTAGAAATATCTATGAGAGAGAGACATCCATCAACTGCCTCTTGCACACCCTCCACCGGGGATGTGCCCGCAACCAAGGCACATGCCCTTGACCAGAACCGAACCTGGGACCTTTCATACCGCAAGCCAATGCTCTATCCACTGAGCCAAACCGGTTTCAAGGATTTTGACCTGGGGTTGAGTGAGGGTGGAGGAGGCCTGGGAAAGCACTGGTTTGGGCAGGGCCCTGAGAGAAGAGTGAGTCAGGTAGGGTGAGAGTGAGTGACGTACCGGGAAAGGGCAGGTAGGGGTGGAGGGAGACTGTCCGAAATGTGCAGGGAGTGACCAGCTGAGGTGAAAAATAAAACTACAGCCCAGCCGGTGTGGCTCAGTGGTCGAGCATCGACCTATGAACCAGGAGGTCATGCTTCAGTTCCCAGTCAGGGCACATGCCCGTGTTGTGGGCTCGATCCCTAGGAGGGGGGCGTGCAGGAGGTAGCTGATCTGTGAGTCTTTCTCATCATTTATGTTTCTATCTCCCTCTCCCTTCCTTTCTGAAATAATTTTTTTAAAAAATATTTAAATAATAATAATTATTATATATAACATAAATGAGAGAACATACGGAAAACATTTTGGTGCACTGCTAAGCACATAGGTGGTGCTCAATAACATGTTAACTTGTATCTTTATCATCATCACCTTACCTAGACCTCCAGATGTGGAGTCCTGCCCTCACAGAGCAGGAGACAGATACAAAAAAGAAAGCATATACTGTCCTAACCAGTTTGGCTCAATGGATAGAGCATGGGTCTGCGGACTGAAAGGTCCCGGGTTGCATTCCGGTCAGGGGCATGTACCTTGGTTGCGGGCACATCCCCAGTAGGGGATGTGCAGGAGGCAGCTGGTCGATGTTTCTCTCTCATCGATGTTTCTAGCTCTCTGTCCCTCTCAATTCCTCTCTGTGTCAAATCAATAAAATATATATATTTTTTAAAAGAAAGAAAGAAAACATATACTGTGTGTCGGACAAGTGGAACCACTTCCGTCTTCACAACGACAGTAGTACTGAATCAAAGGCAACTCCAAAATACTTGCAAGGATGAGTAACTCAGTGTCATCTCATGATGACGGCTGGCAGGCGTCGGTAAGAGTGATGTGTGACACCTCAAGCTGCCGCTGACTTAAGAGAATGAATGAGGCTTCCTGGAGTAGACACCCTGGAAGAGAGCAATCTGTTGGGAAAACCACATTCAGTGTCAAATACGAAACAAGCAAAACATCCGTCAAAACAGCAGGAACAGAGCCGCTGAGGGTGCGGGGCCCTGAGCCGCAGAGGCTGCCGGCAGTGAGCGGTTCCCACTGCCAGAGAACATGAATAAGCGGGAAGCACAGGAGCTGAGATCCTGAGCTCGGCCCTGAGTCAGCCCACGGGGGTTCCCTCAGCCATCGTCTCACTATCCGTGACCAGCCCCAATGGAAAACACAAATGGTTCGTGTGAAAGGGAACACAAACGGCACATCAGCATGTGAACAGCTACCCCATCTCCCTCTCAAAAGAAAAATGCAAATTAATACGACAGGGAAAGACAATCTTATACCTCCCAGGCTGGAAAAGATCACCCAAAAGATCACCCAAATGTGTTATGTGATAAGAGAAATATGTACTCCCACACCACAGTAGCGGGAGCATAAATCAGCACCACCTCTCACTGACTAATGTGAGAACATCTATCAATATTTCAAGAGTCTGTGGCTTGTCTAAGCCACAGACTGCGGAGAGATTGCAAGGACACATTTATAGAGGACTGTTAACTAAAATATACAAAGAACTCTTAAGATTCAACAATAAGAAAGTGAACACCCAATTTTAAAATGGGCAAAAGATCTGAACAGACACCTTATCCAAGAAGATACACAGATATCTTCTGACATGCAAATAAAGATATGCAAGATAAAGATATGCCAACCGGATCGCCCCCTAACCACTTTCCTGTCAGCCTGATTGATGCCTAACTGCTCCCCTGCCAGCCTGTTTGTCCCTAATTGCCCTCCCCTGCAGGCCTGGGTCCCCCCCAGCTGCCCTTCCCTGCAGGCCTGGTTGCCCCCAACTTTCCTCCTCTGCTGGCCTGGTCACCCCTAGCTGCCCTCTCCTGGAGGCTTAATTGCCCCCAACTGCCCTCCTTTGTAGGCTTGGTTCCTTCCAACTGCCCTCCCCTGCTGGGCATCTTGTGGCAGCCATTTTGTGTCCACATGGGGGCAGCCATCTTTGACCACATTGGGGCAGCCATCTTGTGTGTTAGAGTAATGGTCAATTTGCATATTACTCTTTTATTAGATAGGACGAGGAGCCCATTTGCAGGAAGATTCCTGCAAACGGCCACCCTCCCCGCCCCACCCCGCCCTGCCCTGCCTATGCTTTCCCTCTGGCAGCCACCTTGCTTTCTGCTTTTCCTCCCTCTTCTTTCTAAGCTGTGTTCAATCTTCACTCCTCCCTTTCTCAGTGTATGCAAATTAACTGCCATATTTGTTGGGTCAATTTGCATACTTGCTCTGATTGGCTGTGGGCATAGCAAAGGTGCGGTCAATTAGCATTTTTCTCTTTTATTAGTGTACATAACATGATACTCTAATTGTGGGTGCATGTTATTAAATGTTATCAAAACTCATAGAATATACAATGTCAAGAGTGAGCCCCAATGATGGTGGGGAATGTGTGAGAACTCTCTGTACTTTCAGCTCAATTTCGCTGTGAACCTAAAACTGCCCTAAAAAAAAAATAAAGTCTGCTAAAAAGTTAAACACATACACACCCTTTGACCCAACAATTTTAATATTTGTGCTCCAGATACGCTTACGTAAGGACAAAAATGACCTTTGTTCAAAGCTATTCATTGCCACAGTATGTATAACGGGGAAAGATTAGGGGCAACCTAAATGCCCATCCATAAAGGACGGGTTAAATACATCAATTTATCGACCTAGAGGAACAACATGTGCAGCCATAAAGAAATGAAAGCTCTAGCATATTGATATCGATTGGTCTCAATGGTATTTTGTTAGGTTAA